TCTGGCTTCCTTCACTTAGTATGATGACGCGGTGTGGACTTTAAAACAGCCCTGTAAGAGGGAACGTGGACTCGCAGTCCCATTGCTGGACTGTTTTGGTTGTTTTGGATGGGGGGCAGTTAGGCTTTATTTATTTAATGGAGGTACTGGGGATGGAACCCGGGACCTTGTGCATGCGAAGCACGCGCTCTACCACCGAGCTGTCCCCTCCCCGCGGGACTGTTAAGAGGGAAGTGGAGGGGCAACAAGGGGGGTTTGAGAAGTTCGGTGTGGGCTGGAGAGGGATCCAGGCCTTTTCTTCCTCGGACTGTTTGCCATTCACCGATCTCATGAGAAACCTGCTGGCTTGCGGGAAGGCGTCCTTTGTGACGTGTCCTGTGCTCTTTCACACGCTCGGCGGTAATATCGTCCCCGTCGTTTCCCTGATGAGGAAGCAGGTTTCTGAGACCAGGCCTTCCTCTTGCTGCAGCTGGCAACACAGGACCATGTGAGGCGGTATTGCTGACTAGCGAGAGGTTCCGACATAGACAGGGCATGACGCCCCCTCGGGGCCCCCACTGCCACCCTGCGCTGTTTGCGGACAGCACTCACGCCCGAGGAATCGACCCACAGGTAGTCGCTTGTTGTTCTCCTCTTCTCCCCACCCCCACCGCCTCTGTTTCCTAAAGAAAAGTTATCTTCAGAATCGCCAGCATCTCTTATCCGGAGACGAGGAACAAGGCGGGCATCAGATGTGCCCTGTCCTTATATTCACAGAGCTGCATAAAACCTGTCACCCCACGCACCGTACCTGCACTCGCCAGTTTCAAGATAACGTGAAATATCACATAATCAATTATGGAAAAATGGAAATGGAACATCGGCCTGGAAGGCCTCCTCAGAGGGCGTTAAAACAAGGAATCAGTTGCCCGAGAGGGGTGTGAAAATTACCAGACTTTACCTAGGTAGTGGGTCCAGACCTGCCAGCGCGTGCCGGGGGGGGGTCAGGTGCAAGGCGTCCCCGTGTTCCTCGCCAGGTGGGGACCACCCTGCCCCCCGCAGCACAGAGGAGTCCTGGCTCTGGGCCAGGTGCCAGGGACACCGGGGAAAGCTGCCCCTGCAGGGGTGAAGGTGTCACCGTCATCACACACGCGCTTCTGCCCAGGCTGTGCTGGGACCGCGGGAGCCCAGGGAGGGCAGACAGATGGCGCTTGGCGGGGACGGGGTGATTATGACAGAAGGAATGAGGACATGACGGCCCAAACGAACAACCAGAGAAGAAGCGCTGGTTGTGGGAAGCAGACGTGCTCACTCGCACCTGTCCGGTAATTGCTAAAGGAGCAGAGGAACCGGGCAGATTTTCAAGCCTGTCCACCTCGTTATCGCCTCGGGATGAGAGCGGCAGCGGGCAGAAGTGGAGGCGAAGAAAAGCCAGCGCCTTTCCTCCCTTCCTGGCAGCTGGTGGCACCCTCTCCACACAGACACACGCACGGAGTTAGGAGTAAGGTCCAAAAATGGTACCCCGCACTCTTTCTGAGCAGGACACAAAAACAGACCCTTATTTGAAAGTGTGTCCTCAGCATCACAGAAGAAGGCCGGAAGAAGTCAGATTCCCATCTTACGATCTGCAGACACTTTGATGCTGGCAAACTCTGCTACCATAGGAGTTTCCGTCATGATGTATACAAAGGAGACAGGGGCCGCTGAGCGCAAACGGACAGGAAGAGCCCCTTCCTGTGATGGTTCCAGAAAACACGCTGCTTTTAATGTTCCAGGTTGCAGGGTGGGTGTAGCTCAGCGGCAGAGCATGTGCTTAGCGTGCACGAGGTCCTGGGTTCAATCCCCAGTACCTCCACTAAAAAAAAATGGTCAGTGTCCACTCACCTTTCCCCCGTTTCTACGTGGCCTGATTATATCTTAGCTCTTTCATTTGTCTGCCTGGAAAATGGGAATAATCCATTTTCTTGCTGTGTAAACAGGTTCTTAAGCTAGAATCCCCTCCAAATGTCTTTAACCGCTCTTCCAGGAGTCTGTATTCCCCCATCCATCTTGAAATTATTTGTAATGTTTATGTGTATGGCACCTGTTACTGGGAGACCGTCTCAGAGGGTAGTTTTTAGGCTTCCCTGAAAAGAGTCCTAAATAAATAACCAAAGCTTCACATCACAGAAGAGCAGCAGGGGAACTGAATTGCCGTGGCGGAGGGT